ATTAAAACATTGCTAAAAAATTTTTGCCCCCCCCCCCCCTGGAAAGTTAATCGATTTTTTTTGCCCCCCCCCTAGAAAGTTTTCTGCGGGCGCCCATGGTAGGACCGACTATGTTTTCACATTTGTATTTTCTACCGAATGGGGTCAAGTTTGTCAGTCTAAGACTAAAATGAATACGAAATACGGAGCCAGTGTGATTTTAGTCTATACCTCAGGGGCTCGGCAACCTACCTCACGCACGTCAGACCTGGCACCATAAGCTATTTTCATTGACACGTGGAAGACCAAAAATAATTATTAATGTCTAATAAATGCATTTTAAATGGAAGACCAGTAAGTTATTGGCACGTTGAATGAATTAGAAGTCTTAATTATTTAGCACGCTAATAATACCAAAAGGTTGCCGATCCCTGGCCCGTAAATAAGGGGACAGCCTGCTATCAGGTTAGCACAATATAAAATGAGTGAACAATTCATTTGCTGCCCACGGACACTACTTCTAAGCTAAGTGCTATTTTTTAATTTTATACTGGTTTTTTTCTGTTGTTTTTTTTCGTTTTTCTGTTGTTTTGTTCGCTGACGAAGGCTTCCTGTCGACACATTCCGTTGTTTTGTTACGTTCCTTTTTACAGGTTTAAGTTTAACCCTGCTTTGTTCACTCATTTTATAAATAAGTTTTAAAAGTCGCATTGAAGGGGAGCTAACAAGATTGTACTAATGGACAAAGCTAAACTAAAATATCATCCCTGGTTCCTACCCATAAGATAAATGGACGACCCCAATATACCGTACCGGTACTATTGTTTATTAAACATGTACACGTATTTTTAGTTATTTATTATTAGAACTAGTACCGGTATTAATTAAACCGTAGCATCGAACCAGTGGAATGTTCTGAACATTGAGCTGTGCGACTTATTGAGATCTCTGAAAAACAAGTTTTAAAAATCCTCTATAAATTATATACTATCTTCACTTGTGTTCGTGTCTGGCAAATCTTCTTATGGCTAATCGACCGACTTCCGGTCAACCTATCGAGCTGATCCTTGGCACTGACTCGTTACCGATGAAAACACATTCTATCAAAATTTATCTCCCCCCCCCCCTCCCAAAAAAAAAATCAAGGTGAAGAAAAAGGAAATGGTATGATTTCACGAAATAAAATTCAAGATGAATGCGCCAACTAAATGAGATAAATATTTTTTTTTTTAAATGAAGATACATATTATTTTTTTTTAAATATCGCAAGTGTGTACAATTTTCTTTGAAATAATTCTTTTCTTTGAAGTACCGTGAAACGGGGTGATTTTGCCTATTATTAAATACTTATATTGAAAAATTGTTTTTCGTGATTTTCTTGAGTTCTTTCCCCTAATTTTTAACTTCCTATGAAAGCAGACATGTTTCTTTATGAATGTAGTTTCGCTTTCATTACAATGCCAAACCATAAGATTTGACTGAGCTCTTAGACATCGATATTTTGCTGATTTAGGTGAGTTTAAACTTTCATTTTAAGGCATTATGATTTATTTCCCTATGCATTTAATTTGTATAAATTTCAGCAATAAAAAGGTTCATTACTTTGTTAGTTAAGTTAAAGTTTAATAAATCGTTATTGCTTTTCTTTCACATTCACAGTATCACAGCAACGGGCAAAGTCACCCTACTGAGTAATACATAGATTTTTTTTTATTTCTTTATTTGTTCTTCCAGATCATAATGCCATGACTTAACAAGATAACTCCTATTAACAGAAGCTATATTGATGACACTCAGCTTAATAAGGATGAATTGTAAAAAATAGTCTTCTACCAGGCCTATTTAAGACCATTTAAGTCATCCAAATGTGAAAGACACCACTGATTTAATGACTCTTTGAACTTAGCAAATGTTACTGTGGCCACAAGAAAACAACTGGAGGGCTAGCTCTTTGTCAGAAGAATTAAAGTAAACTTAGTAAAGCAACTAAACAGACATCATCAGATTTTGGAATGCCTCAACTAGAAAAAATTGACTTTATGGCCTAAATTTTTTATTTTGGACAAATTTTGATGACGGCGAAATTGCAGTGAAAGGATTCCAGGATAACAATCTCTGTGATGACTTGGTGAATGGATTTTGTACAACGAAATGAGGATATATGTGCCAAAGATATAAGTATAAGCTGAGATAATAGGAAAGACATTATAATTACAATTACAATTAAAGCTTTTTCATTAGATGCGAAAACCTATAACGAAGGTTTGCCTCGAAAGAATAGATCACAGAGAATCATTTTTTATGTGAACTGGTGTCAATATTTTCTTCCAACCTTTCACTTTCATTACCATTAAATATTATGATCAAACAGTAAATGCAGAAAAGAGTATGACTTATTTACTTGGTTTTATAAATTCTACATGCATTGTGCTGTCTTTCACTTTAAAAGGGCTAAGTCACCCAATTTTTCCTTAGTTGAAAAATCTCAAAAAACCTTAATTATCAACTTAACCTGATCAAACTATGACTTAATTCAGCTATAACAACAAAGTGCAGGTACCCTCTCTGTACATTAGCACCTTTGTGTTAAGTTTTACAACAGTTAACATGTTGAAATTTATGCTAAAAGGCCAAAAATAGGCAAGGTCACCCCGTTTCACGGTACCTGTATACGAATCAATATTCAGGATTGGGGGACATTAACAGGGATTCTTGTAACTGGTATTACAATTTAGGAATTATCTATAGAATAGAAACATAACGGGAAATTTGTAAGAAAGAGTGAAACTGCTTTACCATCATACATAGAAATAGAACAGAACCAATATTTTGTTAGCTGAAAGTGGCTTCTTGAAACAGCTTCAATTATTTTTGAACAAATTCTTAGCTGAAAGAGACTTCTTGCTGACAGCCTTGTTGCATTCAATTTTTACTTTTGCTAACCTGTTGGTTATAGCAGTCTCGTCTCTCTCACCCCCCCCCCCATGTTACCATTTATATGATCAGTATCACAAAATTTCATCCCACACTGTTCATGTCAATGTTTCACACCACTGTAAGATGCGCTGCAGGGCTAATGTACAAAACTGTTACTTTTGTACCTTTGTATTTACAATTACATAGTAGTTAAATGGCAAAAATTAAAGCTAAATACATCAGTCAAAAAAACATGAACAGAAAGTTCAGGAAAGGGATATTTATTAATTTAATTTGTTTTGAAAAACAAATCACACAAAATGACGGACAATCTCAAATGCAACACTCAACAATACAATAGACATTTTATCTTCAGTTCATGCTGCAAGCAAGGCCAGTCAGCCCCACAAAACAAGACACTCATTTTACTATATATGAACCTTACAACTGCTTGGCAATTTGCAAGATTCTTCAGATATTGTGGTTAAAAAAAGCCAAATTGTTTTTTTTTAAAAATGGAGTAAAAAAAAGTGTTTAATTAAAAATGTAAAAAGTGTTGTTTTTTTCCTTTACACTACTTTAAAACAACAGAAACACCACAAAATCTGTGTAAGGCTCATACTTCATATATCTCCTCTCACATTTTAGAACCTAACAATCTACCATCTCAAATTGATAAAATACAAAATGCTCAGAGCTGCTCCCGCCTTAAAAAAAAATTACACCTCTCTGGTATGGTTCAAATAAATAGCACATAATGACAATCATGAGCATGAAGTATATGGTGGCAGTCTGTAATGAATGATTTGACAGATGAGATGGATGTGTATTAGTCATACAATCAAGCTTTCTTTTGAACGCTATCAGAAAGTTACACAGTGCACATTTACACGTGTAAATGGGAGCAAAATGTACATGATGCATGGAATAAAGCGAATAAATGGACAGACTGTTCCTGACTCAAGAAAAGAACACTTCGAATAAACAAAACAAAAAAGTTCGTCAGTGATAACCGTCTTTGTCACTTCCAGGTTAACCTGGGCTAATGATTTTACCAGGTCATGTACTTAGTATATGACCATTACATCATGGCTCACACACTAGCTGTTCTGTCTGCCACTAATGAAAAGGTAATTTACCTTATCTATGCAAAAAAAAAAACTTTCTTGCAACACATTATTAAAGTGAAAAACATTCTCAGCAAAGTGTCAACAAAGACGAAAATTCCAGTGGCAGTCATCACATATGTACAAATAGTCTTTCAAGAACTTGCAGACAAATCCTAGGGAAGCTCGCCTCACTAGGTTGTGAAAAATAAAATATTTGATAATTCTTATTAAGGATCTTAGTGGATAACTAAGCAAATCCAGCCTGAAAACTGAACATTCTTCTCTTGCCATATGCTGCCATCTTAAGCAGCAGACTTGACAAGTGATGGAAAATCTGCTTCGTCATCAAAACGGGGAGCAGATTCCCTGGGTTTGCCACCCATCCCTCGAGGGCCTCCACGAGATCCACGACCACCACGCTCCAGACCACCTCGTTCCATACCTCCACGACCACCTCTGCGACCTCTACCTCGCCTGGGTGTGTCATTGAAGGTAATGCGGATATCTGTTACCAAGTGCTTTCCACGAGCATGACGATCATCCTGAAAAGTTTGGGAAAAGTGAAAAGTTTGGGAAAAGTAAAAAGTTATTTCCGGTTAACTAAAATATATTAAAAAAAAACAAACTATCTTCCAACTTTTTACATCATAATTTTAAAGCTCAAATAGTCCCAATATTAAAAAAGGGACAAAAACTAAACAAGCCTACGAACTACCCAAGACTGGTATGACATATGTTTATTATTATTATTATATGTAAGCAAAGCTCAATGGGAACCATAACGCATTCAATGTTCTAAAAATTACTGATGAACTTGCCCAAATTCTGTCTAACTATAATTTATATCCTAAGATGAAGTTACGAGTGTTCTCTAGGTTTAACACGGGTAATACCAAGTTTATTAAACTAGCAAATTCTTTTGTTGAACCATCCAACAGATTAATGTAGAAAGTGATAATAATCAAACCAAAGTATCTGAATCAAGACTTTAAAAAATTAATTGAATTCTGAACCCTTCATGGCTAATACTAGCAAGTGACGGTCGCCATACTTATATTCAGATGGTTAACTTTACATTGTTAATATTTAAGGAGTTTCTTTTAAACTATTCTTTTTATATGATCATTACAATTTTATATTTCATTTACTTCCTTTCAAAACTGATTTAATAAAGTCATGCTCCCTTAACAAATATTCATGTACAGCCTGTTTGTTTATGGTACATTACATGTACAGCCTGTTTATCTATGGTTAAGTGTCTTAAGGTCATTACTCAGATCTCACGTGGAATGGATTCTGGCATATGGGTAAAATGAACATTACTTGTTGAAAACAAGCCTTCATTGACTGCTTTGGCAAGTGTAAAATGTCTAACTGTATTACCAATTCATGTCATTAAATCCAGCACATTGATTACTGTGTTTATAAGTTAACTATTACTTAATGAAAACAGACTAATGGTATAGATATCCAACTTCAGGTATATGATATGAAAAAAATTGGAAAGACGAATTTAATTTGCTTCTCTAGATTAACATTGTTAGATGATATAATACAGGTTTAAACTAACCATTTTAACAATTAGTTAAGTGATTTTAAATTTCTGTTTAACAGATATTGGATTGGACATAATATTCAAATACCTCATCTTCTTCCTCAGATTCTTCTTCTTCGTCATCCTCCTCTTCATGTTTTTTATGATATTCCCGTCCCTTTGTCCACCTAGAGCCATCTTCACCTTCACCAGCCTGGCGTATGTTGAACTCGGCTTTAGGCTTATTTTGAGTCTGTAAAGCCTTCCATTCATCCAAAGTCATCTCTTGAGGCTGAGGATCTTCTTCTGGTGCTTGCTCACCTTCAGCACTCTCACTATGTTGAAAAATGCACATAATTTTAAAATGTAAACAGACCCTCGAACTTCTAAAATCGTACGTCTCTCAAAATCATACAATACAGTATCTTAGTAAATAAATATACAGTATATATAATGTACACTATAACTACTACTGTGCGGAACAGATGAGCAGATGTACTCGTTGCAAAATTACTTCATGTGGCGTAAAAGCAACCAAAACGAGGATTGACTAAAATTATCACTAGGACGGCTGCATTAATATTACAGTCGCCCTGCCTAGTGAGCTCATAAGGAAAATACAAAGCAACAATATCACCAACCTGACATAAACATGCTGGTGCCATTTTAAAGACTTTTAAATATTTAGAACCCCTCCCCAGGCAAATTTAATATGATAGGTGGTCCCCAACCAATGTTACTTCTCGATCCATTCACTGCTGGATGTAGAAAGGAGCTAAAACTAATAACCAATAATGTAAATTGTCATGTTTTTAAAAAACTGGAAAAACTACATGCATGTTATATTTTCAGCCGTCTCTTAAAATTGTAGTTTTGACAGGTCTTGGAGTACAGTCCTAAAAGACATCTCAATATCGTACATGCCTAAATCATACGATTACAACTATTTCCAATAGTTTATAAAAGTATTTGATATTACATGTTATCAAATGTACACTTTAATGGTACCTGATTTATTTTGAAGTCAAGAAATTTACATCAATAAAATTAACCCTTTACCGGGCAAAACGTCTTTAGTACTGAACGGGCAAAACGCCCAAAAGCGTCTGACGACAAAGAGTTGTAAACTCGTGACCTCCGAGTCTTTACGAGAATTCCTATTGTTTACATCCGGTTTTTCCGATAGCTAGATAGAGTGGGCGCCAGTTACAAGTATTTAATCTATTTTTTTGGTAGTTTTAGGGGTTTAATTTTTTTTTCTAAATGGATTTTGCCGATTATGTGCCAATTATTCAAGTGATAGCAGAGATTTCGCTGGATTAAATATAAGCGACATTCAAGTGCACGAATTGACTGTAAATAGGAACTAGATACTAATATTAGTGACATTAGTGAAATCAGCGTAGTAAGCAGTGTTGAATTTTACAAACTTCGGTTTTGTGGCAGTGCTTATTAATAGTACATAGATGAATCACAATCACAAACGATGTGTTGTTTTTTGCAAATATTTGTGTTCATGAGGATAAATGGCAACATGTAAGTAAAATTATAAATCTGCATTCATTTTCCTATATTTGCATTTTATTTCACAAAAATTTGTTGACAAACACCTTAGATTTTTTTTTTACTAACATAACCCTAACTAAATCTTACTAAAAAAAAAACAGAAAGGACTGGCAAGAGGAAGTACCTCCTGTCCTGTAAAGGGTTAAAAATATTTCTAAAAATAAGATGCCCAGTAGAGAACTCGATTTATATAAGCTATGTAGGTGGCTCAGATCAGAGGATAAAAAATAATTCAATACTTACTTAAGCTCAGGATTTTCTGTACCTGGTTCTGGCTGATTGGCCCACTCGTTAGTTTCTGTTTGAGGAGCAGGCTCTCTAAATAAACCAAAATACTTAAAATTAATACCTAGTACTTAGGTTGTTTTGTTTTTTTTAAATTTTAGATTGAAAAAATAAAATTGGAATAATGCTTGATCAGTATCCGGTAATCATAACCATGTTAAATCTTATAAAATAGCTTTCATCACTTCAAGCCAATCGCATGACACAAGTCGTTGCCAAACTTTAAATACTAGATGTCCTTGCTGAAAAATTGGTTTTCGCAAGTAGCATAAAAGAAAATTCTAACAAATGTATTATTAATAATATATATTTTTTTAAAACCAAGTAAATACATAATGAAACGATTAGGTAAAGATAAATGTACGATTGCAAAGCGCCCTTTAAGTTACTAGTTCGCACCAGGTCCTTTAGCTGTCTGGTCTAAATATGAAAACATCAAGATATAACTAAATAGATAAATAAGGGGTTTCTATATGCTCCAAAAAAAAAAAAATTAAAATAATCTGCATAACAGCTGTTATCTGGTAACTGCTTCAACAGTTTTTGGTTCGATTCCAGGCAAATTAATTATTAAAAGGTAATAGAAGTCTGCTTTTTTTTTTTTTTTTTTTTTTAACCATTGAAAATATATAAGCACTCTCAGGGTTAGCAAGAAAAATTATATAAATTATGCAGGCAATGTGTAAGCAAATCTATCCTTAACCACTAACAACAAATTGACAATTCTGTTAACAAAAAGGATTAGCAAAAGATAAAGGCTGCTTGATCAGTTTTTGGAAAATAAATCAACATATAGATAATTTAATTTTAACTTGTACATTAAAATACAATACAACTATTCTTAAGATGATCTTATAAGTGTTTAAAAATACTTAAAATAGACTCGTAATCTTACTCAAGATCATCCTTGAAGTTGCCCCAATTGTAAGAACCTCCACCTTCCTTCTTTTCAATAGGCTTGACACCACTGAAAAGCATAATAATAAGGCTTCTTCGAAAACAGCTTAAGGAATTGCAGAAGATCATGCAGCCTTTTTTTTTTTTTTAAATCAAAGAAATTTTTAAATGGAATACAAAACTTTAAAAAAATGTATTAAAAAATTCCAACTCCTTAAAACATAAAATAGCTTACATTTTGGATGAAATAAGGCTTATGAAACTCACATCTTTAGGGAACTTGGGTAAAACATTTAAAAAGTTAAAAAAAATTAACTGAAGTAAATCAAATGTTAACGTACGTCTTGTCTGTCCCACTGTGACGATCAAATTCACGCTTTCTCTCGCCTCGTTCCCCAAAGCCACCTCTTGGGCCTCCAAATCCTCCCCTTTCCCCACCACGTCCTCTTCCCCTGCCTCGTCCACGTCCTCTAGCCCTTTCTCCTCCAAAGCCCCCTTCACGATCTCCTCTATCTTCTCTTCTTCGGAAGCCACTTTCTGGTCGTTCTCTGGAAGCATATAAACCAGTAAATAACCAGTAATAACAGTAAATGGTGAAACATTATGCAAATAAAGTAAAGTTTAAATAAGACTAAACGCTTGATCAGTATCCGGTAAAGTGTAACCATCACAAGTCTTGATTTCAAATATCATCACTTCAAGCAAACTAGACCATACAATAATATGAATAGTTTATATTTATAGGCACATAACGCTCTTTAATAAAGTATTGAAAATGGGACTAAACTATTTATAATCGAAATTTCACACAGCCTAGGTTAGTAAGGAAGCATCTTCAAAATTTGTCCAACACTGACTAAGTCAACCAATTTTCTTAATGCCTTACCTGAACTCTGGTGGAACATTTTCATCCCCAACTCTTATTTCACGGTTCTCCTTGGGAGCTTGCCGCCTAGGAGGACGCTTTTCACCATCATTATCACGTATTTCACGAGGTTCTCGACTTCTTCCAACACCTCTGCCACCTCTTTCACTCTGTCTTGCTGGTACAGTTTTTTCTAATTTTAAAATAAAATTATTTTTTTTAAATTTAGTTTTGAAACTAGGCATGTAACACAAATGTTTTCAAACGCATGCAATGAATGTTAAAATATTCATAATTCGAGAATAAAAAGTAAGTTTTTTTTTTTTTAATGGCTGCAAATTGCGAGTCTTGTCTTAGGGTGGCAATCATTTTAAGCAGCGTTTCCCAAAGTTTTAAGTTGCACGGACCGGTGGACAAGTTTCGAAACTGCAACTGAGACCAGTGCTAGATTTATTAATTACATTTTCTTTCTATTTAAGCATCAATATTCATGCTCTCTGGACTGGTAATGTGAGGCTTGCGGACCGGTGCAGGTCACCGTTTGGGGAACAGTGATTTTAAGGATGCTGGCAGTACTACATCAAGTTAGAATAACCCTACTGCCCTCGCCTAGGCACTTTGGCCCAATGATTAGCATGTCCATTACTTGAATGGCAATTTATTTGAAAGAACTACTTAAAAAGAAATATGACCAACTATTTGTAGGCCTTGTAAACCAAGACCTTCTGGTAAGCTATCCAAATCTTATCTTTTGACTATAATTTGGCATATGTCTAAAGTCTAATAATTATATTAAAGTATAATAATTAGATGGGTGGGCAACAGTGTAGGAATAGAGACAAAAAAAAGTAAACAGGCCTAATCAATACTTAATGCAATAACTAATTTAAATCAAAATTTACTGGGGCATCTTCTTGCATCACCGTTAAAAAAAAGTCTGAAATGTCAGTTTCACGAACTAGCCTCCACTCGGCTGTTGCTGCCCAAAAGCAGCACATGGCACGGGCAGGCATGTTAGCAGAATTTCTTGAAAGTGACATGCTATATACTATTTATGCACTTTTTGGTGCTAAAAATGCATAACAAATACACATGTCTACAAGATCTATAGCTACATATTAATTTACCCACCTTCTTTTTTCACTACTGGCGGCTCAGGCACTTTGGCTTTGGTCTCGGGCACAGCTGTCTTTTTCTGTTTAGATTTAGACGGCTTCTTTTCTCCTTCATCTTTCTTCTTCTTGGCTTGCTCCTCCTGCCTTGACAAGACCTCTAACGGATCCTCATCTTCGTCCAGGAAGAGCGCAAATTTGTTATTTACAGCTATGCCGTATTGATGGTCCATTTTCCTCTTTAGCTGAGAGGATGTTGTTAGATTAGGACCTTACGGCCTTTTCCCCGATAAGACTTCAGTTTGTCAAGATGGCGTGCTTCGCGCACAAAATAATGCGCATGCAAGGTGAATGTTCCATAACTACTTCCGGTGATGTAATTCAACCAAATTTGGCAAATGCGGACTAATATTTGAAAAAAAAACGACTTGTTTTATAAAATTTAACTGTTTTGCAAATATTTAGAATAATCTAAAATGTTTTTTTACATCTTCGCCTTTAGAAAAATTAATATATCTTAGTAAAGAAAATTGGGTTTTATTATTTAAGTATACTTCTAATCAGTTATAGTTTACACACAGGTTTTAACTAGCACGTATGGTGGTGTTTCCCTGGTCTATTTTTAATATATATTATATTTAAAAAAAATTAAAAAAATATTGAGGGCAAAATCTTTCACGACAGGCTTAGGCTTGAAAATGTAGCCGTAGGAACTACGAGCGATTTCGCAAAATTAAATCTTAAGTTAAGCTTTAGAGGAAACTTACTTTAAATGTGTGTAGGACTATGCATGTTAAAATGCACCCACTCGATTTAAGTCCGACGGCATCGTCTATATCCAAGAAATGTAGGCCTATTAGCCTGGAGCATCGAATAAATAGTGTTCACCATGCAGGGGGTATAAGCAATAAAACACAATACGTTTATCAAAGAGAGAAAGATCAAGGGAAACGTGGTAGACCAAGAGCAGATATTTTAACCACATTAATGGTTGAAGGATCATCTTCCCGTTCAAGAATAAGGTGTACCAAATGCAGTCGCGTTTTTCCTCGAGAAAAATCATTGCAAGCGCATCTAAGGACTCACACGGGTAAGTAATTATTACTAGTGGCTAGTTCGAACAATGCTCTCATATATATATATATATATATATATACGATTCGTTTAGTAAATCCGTGACTTCAGCAAAATAAGGAATGCACAAGAAAATTTAATATACGATCATAAAACGTGCACATTATGCGACGCTGTTGTCGAATGCAATAGTGTTTGAAACCACCCCGGGACTGGGGGGTAGGGGTGAGAGAGGAAATTCACGTCATTCGCCAACACTCACACACCTCTCCCCTCTTTGTCGTTCGCGTGTTTCTGTCATATAAAAAAACAATTAGATGGAGTGAAAACATTAAAATTTGCTTTTACAAATTAGGATGCGATTCAAAGATTGCTTTATGTTCTATTCATGTCATTTAAAATATGTTTGTTTATAAGCTGCCAACGCGCTTCTGTAAAAAAAAAAAAAATTGCTCTGACCACTGTTAATTGCAGTATTTTTCATACGGTACCCGATAACGCCTTTGCTATGGAATATCCGTGTACTGTACATATTTTAAGTGATTCGAGCTCGAGCTAAAAATTTAAAAAAACAAACAACAATAACATATTAACATAACGGTTATTGGATTTAATTAAGTGTACAACTAGAGACGTTCTAATTTTATCATTTCTAGTGTTGTGATGTATGTAACCGAAAGATGGGGGCAAATAAGAATGTTTAAATTCTGGAGAACTGAGAAGGACGACATAAGTTATGTAGTAATTGAAATAGGTCATCGTTGAGTAACAACATCTAGACAAATTTGCATTGGTTGACAAAGTACTCTGTTGGTTGTTTTTTTTTTTTTAAATTAAAAAATCTCCCATTGATGATTAAATAATTAATTTCAATTATTTTTTTTTAAAGAAGGCCTGGTATATGCAGTGACGAAGAAAATATTTGCTAACTATGCAGGTGATTAATATTTCTATAAAAACTATAATTCGTATTTTATAACCTAATGCCTAAGAAATCCTCGGGCCGAGACTTCACTAAGCACAAGTTTGCATGCATACATTAGGGTGACCAAACGTCTCGTAAAAACGGGATTGTCCCGAACTAGCCTCCACTTGACTCGATTGTCCCGTTTTTTCATGATCGTACCCGGTGTCCCGAAAAAGTCTCTAGGGAAGCCTAAATGTCCCGTTTTTAAAACCAAAAACATTTTCAAATCAATGAAACTTCCTAATTTATAATATAACTTCTAGTAATATTTTGGCTAGCTGTGTAGCCAGTGCCAGTAGTGATGTGGGCTCGCGTGATGGCTGCACTGTTCCCCCTCCACCACTCTGCCGACGCTGCGTAAACGCCAGTGGTCCTACCATAGATCTTATTATGTTTTAAAGTATGTATAAATAAATAATTATTCACTGCAATACTATTGTTTTCGTTTATGATATGCTTCAGAGTTTAAATTGAATTACAAAAGTGAAGGTAAATTTAAAAAGATTTCTATGCATCTAAATAGTTAAAATGAGCATATTTCAATAAACAGTTTCAGGCGGAGGCCCCCCAGAACCCTCTTTAGCTGGAGAGTATGCCCCCAAACCCTCCTTGGGTCTGTCCCGTTTTTTTTTCCAGTTCATGATTTGGTCACCCTAGCCTACATATTGTGCAAGGATTGACCAAGTCCGATCAATCTAAAAATACACAAACACACACTATTGGTAGACACTTGTACCTAAGTTATCCTGGATAATATATGCTCATCAATGGGACCGGTAACCAAGTTATTTATTTTCATTAAGTTTGGCCTCCACCACCTTACACCCCAATGGCCATTTGACGCGGCTGTTACGTGACATTTGAAACTTGAGCGGGTTCTCTCAGGCTTTCATGTTATCAGTTATGTGCCGTATTTTTATTCATTTGTCTCAACAGTTATTTTAACCTACTAATAATTAATCCATTGCTCTCGTTTAAAAAAAAAATTTGTCCTTTTGTAACAACTGTGAGCGAAGCAGTGCTTGTTGCCACCTCTAGCAATTCACCACGTGATAAGGTGTGATCAATTAAAGATTCCACCCAAAACACTGTCATCCCAAACGCATAATCAGAATACTTAATTGTATAATAACGTGCTGCTGTCCTTCCACCAGTTCTGAGAAAAGCCATCTTTATCTTTATCTTTATCTTAGCAAAGTTTGTTGAAATCGTCACAAGTAGAGAGCGATTGATTCATTCCACGGTCCAGGATATTAAATGACATTGACGCTAGACATTATTAGCAAGGCTGAATGGCGTACCTTGACTAAATGCCACCCACCCACCACCCAGGCAGGCATATGCCACTGGGTAAGAAGACTCAGAAGTTTTTTTGTTTTTTTTAAACTGGTATTTGTTGTTTTGTTTTTTTCCTAAAAATCGATTTTTCAATTTTTTTTTGTATGAATTTTTTTTTTTTTTTTTTTTTTCTGCTTGGTAGGTTCAAATTTCAAAAGCCATTTTTTGTTTTTTTTTAACTGGTATTTGTTGTTTTGTTTTTTTCCTAAAAATCGATTTTTCAATTTTTTTTTGTATGAATTTTTTTTTTTTTTTTGCTGATGCGAAGGTTCAAATGTCAAAAGCCGATACTGTTATCATGAAAATGGGAAATGGTTCTGAACATGACTGCACATGAGCCATTCAACAAAACAAATCTTAATAACCGTATCTTTCTGAGCCTTTTAAATAAGATAATAGTGGGGTCGTGCTATCTTCACCGCCATCGTCAGCGGAAGCACTTGTTCAATGAATATGTAATTAATCCTGCGACTGCAACTATAGTTGCCATCACTGTGCTACATTGGCGATTATCTGATAGGTTTAGTGGTATTATACATATATATATATATATATATATATATATACTCCATTATTCTTTTACGTGAGCAGGTTTTCTGCTTTTCTAGTGAGGGTCCAGGTCTCACTTGCGTATGTAACTACAGGTCTTATGATGTTTGTTTATATTGTCTTCTTTGTTCCCCTTGAGAGGTTTTTGTTTCCCAGTAGCTTTTGTAGGCTGAAATAGGAACGGTTGCCTGCTGTTATCCTTTCTTTCACCTCCGACATTATCTCCTTGTGCTCATTTATAGTTGCCCCTAGATATTTGAATGCAGCCTCTCTCTCAAATTTGTGGTTGTTTATATTGAGTTTCTTGACATTATCACATATTTTGTCTTCTGTTCATTTATATCAAGGCCAGCTTTGAATGAGTCATTTTCAAGTTCCCTGAATGCTTTAATTATGTCATTACGGTTTCTACCCAGTAGTGCTATATCATCTGCATATGCCAGGTACTGCAATGGTTGGCTATATAAGGTTCCTGGATGGTCGTTGTTCTGTGGTATCTCTCTGGAAGTCTTCAAACTTAGTGCCAGTGCGATATTACTTGCTATGAACTGTTTATTTATTTATTTTATTTTTTCGTTTCATCTTAAATTTTGTACCTGCCTTTTTTTTCTCCATTATTTTTTGTTGTTGTTGTTGTTTTTCCATTAAGTTTTCACATCAATCACATAACGCGTGCTTGATATTTGCTAAATGAAAGTGCTACTGCTTTAAAAACAAATCTGGCACTGTGATGCCCTACTAGTGATAGTCATATGTAGTGGCGTACATACCGTGATGCCATGGACGGCACTTTAAAGTTGTATAAGTGCTTTTTTGTTGTGTTTGTTGGTTTGTTTGTTTGTTTTTTTTTGTTTTGTTTTTTTTTTGTTTTTTTTTTTTGGGGGGGGGGGCACTTTTGGCATTTGGTTAAGGTGCGCCTCTGGTCTTATTTAGTTGAAATAATCCCCGTAGTTTTATAAATAATTTAATATTTTTTTGTTTTTTTTTTTTTTTTTTTTTTTTTTTTTTTTTTTTTGTTTTTTTTTTTTTGGGGGGGGGGGCACTTTTGGCATTTGGTTAAGGTGCGCCTCTGGTCTTATTTAGTTGAAATAATCCCCGTAGTTTTATAAATAATTTAATCTGAACGGCGTTCACAAAAATAAGTGATGAAAACAAATCAAATACCAGAAATATATATTATATTATTATCTCAGATGAACAACTGCGTTGCAATTGCCTAAGGGTTTTATGTCACCAACCAACCCTTTGGCGCCCTCCAGATCTACAAACTGTGTTGTGGCGTCACTTGGTTTCAGGGCCGTGCTGAGGAAAATCATCACCGGGGTGAAGCTTTAAAATGGTCTAATGGAACCCCTCAATACATAGAGAAAAAAATACTGCCCGGTGCGGACCAGTGCAAATTAAAGACGATGTGGCGACTTTTTTGTTTGTTTGTTTGTTTTTTTTCTTTCAAGTAAATGGGATTCTATCGTTTAATTAACTAATAATGTTCTATCCCAAGACGATTTTGACGCCCCTTACGTTGACACACTGGGTGAGTGCGCCCTTCTCCGCACGGCCCTGCTGGGTTTCACCAACAAAAAAAAGTTTTGGACCTTCGCCTTTTAATTAGTTTTTTCATGTCAGTGGATGCCATTGAAGAAATGATAACGGACAGGCTACAGGTTTAAAACTCTGAAATTTGATGATTAAAATAACACATTTTGATTTGGTTTTTTAAACCCCACCCACCATTTTTAGTTATATTTAAAAGTACAACCGATCAACTGGGTTTTAACAAGTATCCAGCGAATTCTGAATTCGGGTGGAGAGAAGAGTGATGTAACCCTTTACACGTTTATGCAGACTTACTTTGCATGAAGAAAATAAAATGACAATATCTTCTGGATCCAGTGATAGTGTGTCATTTACCGTACCGAAATACCTACATAAGATGGTGGTGATCTAATACAATATTTGAACTGTTTTGGATTAAATTTATTTTTGTTTCTCTTCAAAACATGAATGAATGAATGCAATACGTGTGCTGACGAGTCCTTGGATGGAACTTGCTTACTTAAAGCCCTTAGTCGCCGTGGACTAACATTATATTTATATCATTAGATAGTAGGCTACAATGCATTTTAAAGTGGGACAGAACTTTAATAAAAAAATACTTGCTAGGACTTGCAATATAGATATCCACTTATTCGAGGAAATCAAGTAATAGTTTTTTAACGGCTTCTCTTAGTAATACTGATCGTGATCTGACATGTAGAATCCCGTTTAAACCAATCAATCAAATGAGGTCAATACAAACAGAAAGAAAAAAAAGAAAAGAAACCTAGGTCATTTGACCACGCCTCCAGCCTCGATATAGTCTCGAACCATTTAACTGTTGATTATCACCGCGTTAAAAAATAGTTCTCCATATATATATATTATTTTTTTCTTAAGTTTGGGGGAAATTATTCAGAATTCCTTTAAAAAATAACCTCTTTAAATTTTTTGTGTTTTTAGGCCTAAATATATTTTTATTAAGTTATAGTGTTAAGTTATATTTTATATTTTACTTTTTTTTTTGTTATTAGACTTCGTTGTAAGGAAATCCTTGTACAGTGTGGAAACCCTAGAAAGTAAACAAAATCACGTGACAGGATATTCTTCGTCGATCTCTGTACCCCGGCCCCCCCCTCCCCTTTTTTTTTTTTAGAACTTTCACCCCCTTATCAATATCTTTATAATAAATCACATCCCTATCCATAAGATAATCGCAATAAACGGTTTTTAAACAATTTACTGAAGTAGGCCTCGGGTAAATAGCGCAGTTTTATGAAGAGTTATTTTTAATTTTAAGCTAGGGTTTGCACGCCCAGCTAGGCTCTGTCAGTGGTGTTCCGCCCCGGGCGGCACTTGTTCCATTTGTAGTGGTATGACATTTTTCGGCCGACAATAGAGGTTTTCATGAGGAGGGAGGGGCGGCTTGGCAAAAAAAATCTTGGCCCATCCCCAGGCGGCACTAATACTAAGTAAGTTAAGTTGAGCTAGTTACGGCACTGCACCTATGGCCTATGGTCTAAGCTTATATCGCAAGGCGCAATAAAAAGCCATATTTGAAAATAGCTGCTAGGCCCCATGCCCATGCTTTAATAACAGTACAATTTAATTCAGTGGTTCTTAAACTGTGCTCCACGGAGCCTGTCGTATAGCTTCGCATGCGCTTCTCAGGAGCTCCGCGGCCACTCCAGGATATAAAAAAAAAAAATTAAAAAGAAAAAAAAAATTGAATGAAATTTGTCAGACATGTCATAGGGATGGCATACGTGGCTCCACGAAATACATTGATTCTAAATGGGCGAGAAAAAAAGATTGGATAATCACCGATAATTAATAAGCTCTAGTATCCACTCTATTTAATCTTGAAAGTCAAATTTGAAAATTTTACTTCATATGTAAGGGGCCGTCCATTAATTACGTCAACAAAATAGGGGTGGGAGTTTGACAAAAAGACAAGCATTGACAATGGGGTGGGGTGAGTCAAAATAAATTGACGTCAACAATTTTATTTTTCTTGATATACATGTTACTGGCTGGTCAAATCTCAAAATTAAGAAAAGATCGAAGTTTGGCCGTTCAATTTAAGTTTGGACATAATCCATTTCCTGATTTGGCCGGACAGTTTCCAATTTGGTCAATTTCGGGTTTAGACCGCAACGTTTCCACAATTTTAAAGACAGAAGAGGCTTTGATGATCTGTTGCAAAATATTGGTTCTTTTAAATAGCTATACAATTCGTATAGTTTCAAATGGTCTTAAAAGCACCGATGATGCATTATTGGTCCTAAGAAATTACCAGCTGCATCTGCTCCTCCGAGCCCTCGGAAAGAAAGAAAAAAAAAATGCTATTTTAAATGCTAAATCGTTAGATGGTTAGACTAAGCAAGAATAGGGCCGTTCCACAATGATATTGGCAATGATAAATGAGGAGCCCAGTTGCAAATGGTACCAAGTCCGTTTTTTAAAGGAAAAAAAAGAGTTATTGCCCTTTTCTTAATCTATTGCATGTAAGCATTAAAAAAGTTGCGTAGCCTATTTATTATTTTTTGGGGTGGGGGGGGGGGGGATTTCCTGAAATAACTAGGGGGATTTCCTGACATAACTGTGAGGGGGGGGGGATTTCCTGACATAACTGTGAGGCTGTAAGTGAAAGTTCAACTGTTGATGGGGGTCATTTTTTTTGTGTGTTAAATTAAATGACACAGGGGACTTGAATGTAATTTAGATCAAATATTTATTTTGATGCACTTAAAATTACGACCAGCATTCTTAATTCCAAATGTTTATTCTGTTTCAGGTGAAAGACCTTATACATGTGACTATCCCAATTGTACCAAAGCGTTTTGTCAAAGTGGTCAGTTAAAAACTCACCAACGGCTGCATACAGGGGAAAAACCCTTCTCATGTATTGTGGAAGGTAAACTTACAATCACTGTAACTGTAGCAATGTAATGTAGCAATGTAATTGTAATGCAGCAATATAATTTAACAAAACAAAATAATGAAGGTTTGTTTTCACCAAGGTAGAAAGTCTAGGCATAATACAATGATAGTGATTCCATTCTTTTTAGGCCTATTATTTTACAATTTAAAAACTGACCAAGAAAAAGATAAATGTTTAGCTATGTTTGCACATGTGATTGTTAATGCGACAGGGTCAGAAAAGGTTATGAGTTGTATGATCCTTTATTATAATTTTTGTTTCCAATGCTTACCCTGAAATACATGCAACTATAAGTTATTCCTTCATTTAAGCTGCTGTCAAATTCCTTAAATAGGGAGGAACAAAAACCTGAACGTAATTTTCTTTAAAGGAGAAGCATGGAGAAAATGTCCTAAATTGAAACACCATGATTTCTATATCTTCCCTAACTTCAAACTCACTTCTCTTTAAAATATCTTGGTTGCAATTTTTATAGTGGCCTTTTTTTAAAATGTCTTCCACAGGCTGCCCTAGTCGTTTTACTCATGCTAACAGACACTGCACTCAGCATCCTTTTGCTGGTCTTAAACGAATGGATATGGATTTAGCTTATGTGACCAAACTCTGTGATGAGGAATTAAACCCAGAGATTAAAAAATGGATTTCTAAGTAATATATTTTATAACCACTGAAATTTCAATCTAATTCTTTCTATTTCTAGTAAATTTTCTGGCCTGGGTCATTTCCTATACCGGTATTATTTAATGGTTCTAAAATGATTCTTTATAATTTTTGTGAGAGCATAGTAGCCTAAACATCAAATATTCTATTCCCTTCAGGTACATCAAGCAATGCAATGAAAGAATAAACCCAAAATGCACCCTTAATAGAAGTTCATCTACAGAAAGCATGGAGGATAATGCCATAAGAGACTGCTCATTACCACCAATTCCAATATCTCTCATTTCCAAAACCCAGGTAGCACTTCCACAATATTCTGGAGTGTACACATCATCACGATCGCCGCCTACTTCTTCAACCTCTGCTTTAACACCACGTCAGATGAGTGTTTTGTCATGTGGTTCTTCATCATCAGGTGTTTCATCAATTTCTTCATCATGTGCATCACCAATGCCATTTACACTTGAATCACGACCTGAGGCCTCTAATTTTATATATTCTAGCCAGATGATTTTACAAGGCCAGTATAATGATGTATATCAAATGGCTCACTGGGCCAGCAGGGCTAGCTCTCCAGCGACAGGAGAAATGTATCTTACTAATTACAGAGCAGGAAAGTCACCCATACCATTACTACCATCAAGCCCTTCATCTCCATCCCCAATAGGGAGGCCATCGAGTCCAATAATGTTGAGACCTCCCACTCCACCACTGTTAAAACCTCTTGCTTCATCAGTGGTTAAACCACCTGACTCACTGGCCTTTAGTCTCATCCATACTCAATCACCGCCCCTTAAACCAATCCCAATTTTTGCTCAGCCACTAAAGCTTTTTCCAATTAATGCCCACCTATCAAAGCCTATTGATTTCCCTGCTCATCAATCCCAAATGCAACCGCTGAAACCCATTCCAACCAATGCCTACCCATACAGGCCCATTGAATCCACTGCTCATCAATCCCACGTACAACCACTGAAACCCATTCCAACCAATGCCTACCCATCCAGGCCCATTGAATCCACTGCTCATCAATCCCACGTACAACCACTGAAACCCATTCCAACCAATGCCCATCCATCGACGCCCATTGATATTCAAGTACAAACATTTAGATCCGTCACAGATACTGAAGCTTTCCAAAATTGTAAACCATTTGCTTGTAATGCCATTACTTGCAAACCAACTGCTTCTACATCACCTCCAGTTGAAACAACTGACTCTATCAGCTACAGAACAACACCAAAAAACAGAGAGAAAGATCGTTATATCTCTGCCCTAGCTCTAATTGAACTTTCAAAAGGTGAAGATGTCTGATATTATCACATATTGCAAGTACCATTCATACTCGTGTATAAGTTAATAGATTTTAGTTCTAAACTTCATCTTCAAATGCAGAGTTGACTTATTCAAAGGTCAGAGCTAGTTTTGATAGAATTTTGTACATTGAAAGCGGGGCAATGTCGAGTTACCGGTAGTGCTAGTGTGTAGCTATAGGTTGACCCAGATCCTGGTCACACACTCACAGTAAAACAGACGTTGATGCTTGACTGAATTCTGAGACCAAACCACATGCTTCACTGCTGAGGCCATCAGCCATTATCGCCAGAGCCGAGTACACTGATATAATTTGTGAGAATTTCACATACCACCAACTGCAAGAGAGTGTAGTCCTAATAACACTGGCCATAGTTTAGTGTATAGGTAAAATCTAACATAATTATTTTCAAAATCATAGAATTTCATAGCCCCAAGTTTTACTCTCGTCTTATCCAGGAGTCATTATTTGTTGGTAAAAAAAACTGTCTTTGACTTATAGACGAAATCAACTAATAGATGAAGAGGGTTAATAGCAATCTGGTGAGTTATACAGGTGCACTCCATCAAGATTTTATAAAAAATTGTATTGAACTGCCAATCACATTGTCTCACTGCCGTTTTATTATATTTCACAATTTCATACTTGTTCAGAGGAATATAACAATGAAATATTCATATGTTAGGTGGTGCACTCCACACACTTCTGATTCTGTTTGCAAATCTATTCTAAAATTATGTTTTATCAAATGCTCAATTTTTATACAAATTTATGATTATGTTTTGTTAGATTGTTAATAATAATCTTTTTACTTCATGCTTTTTTTTACACTTTGTGTTCTTTTTTATGTAATATAAATCAGACATCAGCTTATTTTTTTACAATAAGTGTTCAAAGAGAAAATTAATTTCATACGATTAAATACTGTCTATCCACAAATTATCTCAGTCTATCCAGAATTTATCTCAGTCTATCCAGAAATTGTCTCAGTGACACTCAGTCTTTCCAGAAATTATCTACCAAAGGAGCAGAAAAGCATTTTTATGCTATTAAAATCTGCCATGTACCTTTATAAATGTCCCTTTAAGGGTAGCTAGAACTAGAATACTAGTTTTTGGAAATGTATTTCCTTTCATTGCAGTAAAAAGTAAAATTATTAATTTTTGTTGATACTTTTTCACTCTAACAATTTACTAACAAGTAGGCCCTCATATACCACAATCCCTTTAGCGATTTGTAGCTACACTTATGGAATGGAGTCTGTGGACAAAATTTATATTTAATGTGGCTGTATAAAAATGTCCGATTTCCATATTTTGGAATCAAAACATCATTTTGACCAGGAAATAATTGAATGACCCTGAAATGTTCTGTCGAAGATTCTGTTTTTTAAAAAAATATTGTTTTATCTTACATTTACTATTTACAGTTTGTTTTGCTCAGACTCATAATTTGTATGGAATCTGTTTATAAATCAACACATAAAAGTCAAACTTCTGCAAGATATTTGTACATTACTTGTTAAACAAATACCAGACCACCCTATGCAACAAAGTAATGTTTGAAATACAATGCATTCTTTTAAAATACAAAGAGGTTTTTTGAACTTTTAAATTAGGTGATTTCTGCTGACTCATATTTAACTCTTTCTTAAAATAAAAAAAACAGCCTTGGATTTTTATTAGCCTGCTGGGTAATGAAACAAAAGTATTTTTAATGTTATTATTGTAAATAAATTGCTGGTTATACCACATACAAAAATAAATTGAGACATGATGTGCATATATTTATTTATCTAGATAAGTGTGCATATATTATTTTGACTATTTATTTGAATATTCAAGCAACAGATTTGTCTAAGTTTTGTTGGATTGGATAAAAAGAGAGCTTTTTAAAAAGTGTCATTGTTATTAATTATTAATCAGTACATTTCTAGCAGTACCACTTGCAACATTCCATTTTGCCATATTTTATCTGCAACCATAATTTATAGAGCAATTGATTTTTAAAAAATATTTATTACTCATGGTATATTAGTAGATTGCTACAATCTCAGTTTATATTAACTAGTAAACATAAACTTTTATCAGCCAAATGTGCTTCAAATAAACTCTTTTTAAAATAATATACATGAAATTGTATTGATAAAGATTTTCACATGTTGAGATAATTATTCACAGAGAAGTTCTGCCTCATGAATATTTCAGCAATACATTAATTTGTGTTCAAAATAATGTTCAAATTTATCCTCACTTATTTAACCACAAAACTATTGTTCCATTCATAATTTTTTTTCAGTTCAATATCTCTAGATAGAAATAATTTTTTGTTCAATGTTTCAATCAGCACCATAAGATATGTTCAGAATTGCAAGTGTTCAATCTTTTTTAAAAATTAACCAAGAGGCGTTCGCAGGTTTAAGATTACATAAAATAAAATCAAGACCATTTCTTCCTTAAAAATCATGTTCGTCCTGATCTCATGTGGCTCTACTTTTCTCATAGCTTTACTCAATTCAATAAGTAAAGTGTTCATTATTTTGATTCATGATGCATCTTGTAACAGAAAATGTAATTTAAACTAAGACATTTATAATAAATCTGCAGGTTGATTCTGAAGTAATACAAGTATTGCAGGCATGACAATATAGCAATATTTTAAATCCAATGCCATGAATGAAAATAAAATAATTACCCTCCTATAGTAATTATCAAATAGATAATGTCAATGTCGGCTTATCATGTAAAGATGTCACTTTTTGTCATGTCAGTTATAGCTATAAAGTATAATTTGATTACGTTAATAAATGGCATTAAGACATGCCGTCCCGAAATGTAAATAATTTTATGTTCCGGTGTCTTTGTAGATCAGATGACAATTATTTACAACTGTAAGTAGTGTAAAAAGTGATAAAAATTTATTTTGTTAATTTTTAGTACTTTGTGTATTCTCATCAGTTCCAATAACTTGTGTGATTATCAGTTAAAAATAGTTAGTTATTTATTCTGACAAGTGTGATATTTAAGAGACATAATATATTTTTTAACCATTCTTTATCTGCTGATATAGATAAAATGTTTTTTTATAAAATTTTATTTACAACATTTTGTAATTTTAAATTTAGCTCTTGTTTTTTTTTTAAAACTTTTCTTTATAAACTGTCTCCTTTCATCACCTACATACATATTAACCCTCCAACTGTGGCATGCATCATTCTGTGGTGTGGAGCTTTTCAGAGCTTTTTGAGTGCCTTTAGAAATTGCATTAAATGACATAGAAATATTGATACAAGACCCCAATAAGTATATATTTTTAGAAAAGTAAATGGATGTGGATAAAGTTGGCCATATTGCCCACCCTGCAAAAAAAATTTTGGGCAGTGTCCTTGACCTTGGAGTTCTCAAGAAAATAAAAATAGAAAAAATGTCTTGCTTTCAAGTGCTCATAACATAATTAATTTTTATAGATACACTTAAAACACAAATCTAAATGTTGTAGCCAATTTTTTTTCTATCAGAAAATGTATAGTTTGCTAAGGTTTTGATTGCAAATACACACCTGAAAGCAATTTTATTAATTTTAGGTCATTTATATAAGAAACTGGGGCCACTGCTAAAACCAAGTACAAAATACAAAATCTCAGTCAAAATATTTATTATTGACTAGTAAACATTTAAAAAGGAACTGTGGAACTGATTTGGGTTGTTAAAATATAAAATTTATTAGTTCTGATCTATAATCTGTAGCTTCTGTGACTAAAATTCAGTCAGTCCTTGCCCAACCTCCGGGCCTGGCTCGAAGTCAAACAGTAGCCTCAGTAGGCCTACTTCAGTATCACTAAGAATAGTATCAGATTCAGAAAAAGAAGAATCTGAAGTGAACTATAATGTGGAATGTTAAAATCATCATCAGTATCACTTAAATCCTCTCCTAAAAAGGTTTCAAAAATATTTATATTAGTTCTCGCACTGAAGGCCCGGCCATAACTTCTGCCATTTTTGCTTTAAAAAAAAAAGCGATATAAAATTCCGATTAAAAAGCACTTATCAAGAAACAGCTTGACCCGGAAGTTGATTTAATTATTAATGAAAGGAAATGGCTACGATTTCAGTTAAATATTGTATTGGAAGTTGCTATCGGACCGTGTTTTTTATCCGCCGATTTTTTCGGCCGCCACAGCACAGAACGAGAATATCGGCCGATTTCGTCGGCCAACCACAGTTCGGGGGTTAAGTTGGATTTTATATATCCATATCAAGAAAATCCAAGAAAATGCGTGATAAAATAAAAGACATTTTATTGCAAATTTTATATTTTTTTTTACTTGTACAAAGTACAAACAATGTGATAAAAACTGAAAGTTCAAAACCTAAACAGGTTCCTAGTTTAAGTTGTAAGATTAAAATTTAGTACCAAGACATAGTTGAAACATTGTTTTCAGGAAATTTAAATTAATCACTCATTTTTATTTTACGTGTGTGCTTAAGCAAATAAAATATGATGCTTAAATTTGAAATCCATTGAAGTCCTTTTTTTTTTATACTTCATAATCATGATTGTTTAAGATAGTTTGCTAAATTGTAGCAATTTTTTGTGTGATTTCCAAGTGCTAGAAGTAGACATTTTTTTTAAAGATTAAATTAGTACTTTTAAAATGTATAAACTACTCTCTGAGATTTACAGCACCAGCACACAGCACTGGAATAGAAGTGTCAAGTCTCAGATCAAATTATTTTATAGTTTAAATTATTGATTATTTACTATTTCTCTACTTTCTTTGATTTTTTTTTTCCCTTAAAAAAAACATTAACATTGTAACGTGATGAAGAATTTTATCATAGAATATAAATAAATCTAATCTAATGAATCAATTTACACTAACATTGAATAAAAATACTAGTGATCAAACTAAGATTTATTGCT